TCATGGAGTTCTGATCATTTTGGTCCCTCTCTAGAACATCTTTCAGTAGCCTGTGTAAGGTTGGCTTTGTCATCGCGAAATTTTTTAGCTATTCTTTGTCATGAAAGTATTTCACTTCTCCATCAAACTTGAAAGAGATTTTTGCAGGGTATAGTAGTCTGGGCTGGAATTTGTTTTCATAGAGGACTTGAAGTACTCTGCTCCATGCTTTTTTGCCTTCATGGTTTGTGAAGGGAAGTAGGCCGTAATTTTGATGGGTTTTCCTTTGAATGTGATCTGCTTGTTTTCTCTAGCAGCTTTCAGTATATTATTCCTGTGCTGAATTTCTGGGATCTTGACTATTATATGTCTCGATGTGTTTTTAGTTTGGTTGAGGTTACTTGGCATTCTGTATGCTTTGGTTACATGAATGTCAGATTGTTTCCTCATATTTGGGAAGTTTTCTGCTATTACTTCTGCCCATAATTTTTTAAAGACATTTGTATTGACTCCTTCTTTCTCATTGATCCCTATTAATCTCACATTGTTCATCTTTGCATAATCTTGCAGGTGATGGATTATTCATTCCTGCATCCTAGTTCTTTTTAAGAGATCCTTTCTTAGTTTTTCACTAGCTGCACCAGTGTATTCAAGATCTGAAACTCTGTCTTTACTTTCACTTAAATTGTTTTGGAAGCATGTGATTGAGGTTTTAATTTCCTCTGTATCTCTTTGACTCTGCTTCATGCGATCTATTTCTTTCCTGTATTGCTAATTCAAGGAATCTGTCATTTTTCTAATCGCCTCTATTTTTTTTTTTATCAATGTCTTCTTTAGAAGCAGTTAGAAATTCTTTTACTGCAGTATTTTTTTTTCAGATTGGGTTTCCTCCCTATGTTTCTGTAGTTGATGCTTTACTTCAGATGCTATGAGTTCTGAGAATTCTTTTTTTATTTCAGAAAATAATTCTGCTCTGAGTTCCTCTGTTACTTTCTGCTGTTGCTTATTTACTATCAATGCTATTAATTCGTACATTTGAGCTGAGCCAGTATAAAAGAATTCCTCTCTGATTTCCTCTATATCTTTCTGCTATTGCTTATTTACAATCGACACTATTATTTCATACATTTGAGCTGAGCTAGTGTCCTCTGCACTTGTTCTGGGTGGACATTGGGTTTCCTCCATATGTTTCTGCATTTGATTGTTTAGTGCAGATGTTATTAATTCAGTGATTTCATTTTTCATTTCCAATCTGAGTTCCTCTATACCTTTCTGCAGCTGTTTCTTTATTTCAGAAGTCGTTGATTCATTGCTTTCAGCTGTGTTATTCCCAATTTGGTCTGTGTTAGTGTCCTCTGCACTTGTTACTGTGGACTTGGGTTCTGAGGTTGCATTTTGTTCCTTCTCATCATTTTGTGTAGCACTGTCTTCTGACCTTTGTTGTAGATCTTTGTTGCAGTTATAACCTTAGCACCTACTGAGGTTCAGGTGCAGATCTACAAAGTTTGGATTTATCCACCTGTGCCTGGCTTAGATCTGGCTGCTGTGCTCAGCTCCTTCCTGCTGCTGCCCTTAGGGGTGAACCTTTTGTGCCCCTCTAGCAAGATGTTCTGTTCCTGGACTAGCTGGGTGGTTCTGTCACCTACACTCTCTGCAGTGATTTCAGTTGCAGGGTTTCACCCCAGGCCTGTATGCCAGGCCTGAGCTGAGCCTGGAGGGGCCAATGTGGAGTAGGGAGAAGAGGCAGCTCACCCATATACTCACCAGACCTGGGCTAGGAGTGGATCTGGCAGTTCCCGGAACACGACAAAAATTCCTACTCTTTGGGTGGGTTGTGGGGCGGTACTAGGGAGTGATGGTGGGCGTCCCAAGATGGTGAAAGAGGGTGTTACTCATGCTGTTCCTGGGCTGGGACCAGTAGGTCACGCCAACACAGGGTAGCTGGAAATTCTCCCACACACTCACCAAGCCTGGGTCTGGGGGTTCCTGGAAAACGGCAGAAATTCCTACTGGGCAGGCCAAGTAGGGAAGTTGCTGCGGAATGGTGGTGGTGTCCTAAGGTGGTGGAAGAGGGTCTCATCCATGCTGAGCCTGGGCTGGGACCAGTAGGTCCCGCCGGCACAGGATAGCTGGAATCTTTCCCACACACTCAATGGCTTGAGTTAGGACTGAATCTGGGGTTTTCCCGGAAAGCGGCAGAAAATCCTACTCAGCAGGTGGGGTGGGGGAGGTGCTGCAGAGTGGTGGAGGGGCATCCCAAGGGGGTGGAAGAGGGTCTCACCCATGCTGCGCCTGGCCTGGGATGAGTAGGTCCCGCTGGCCCAGTGTAGCCCGAAGCTCTCCCACATACTCACCGGGCCTTGGTTAGGACTGGGTCTGGGGGTTGAAATTGTTATTTATAGTAACAATTTTTTGGATTCTTTTCTACTTTCTATACATACTATCATGTTATCAATAAATAATGATAGTTTTACTTCTTCCTTTCCTTTTAGATGCTTGTTATTTCTTTTGCTTGTACAGTGGATCTGCCTAGAAGTTTCAGTACTTCTGAAACTGTGTTATAGTGATGACCACAGATAACCTTTTCTTGTTCCTGAACATTAAAAATGTTTTTGGTCTTTCATCATGAAGCATGATGTTAGCTATTGTCTTTTCAAAAGCACCACTATTGGGGGCCGGGGAGATAGCTCAGTAGAATAAGCGCTTCCCTGGCAAGTGCAAGGGCCTGAGTTCAATCCCCAGTTCTGGAAAAAAAAAAAAAAAAAACAAAAAGCACCAGTATTATGTTAGCTGCTTTCCCTCAGTGTCTAGTTTTCTGAACCTTTTGTTCAAATGCCTTGCTTGAGTCAGTTGGGATATCCATTTTGTGTTGGGTCTTTATTCTATCAGTGTGATGCTTTGAACTGATTCATTTTCTTCTACTGAATCACATTTACATTTCTGGAATAAATTCCACTTTTATGATGTATAGTCCTTTTAATATGCTCTTTGCTTTGATTTTCTTATATGTTGTGTATTCTTTTTACATCTATATTAAAAAAATATTGGAACAAGCAAGATAGCTCAGCAGTCTAGCACACCTGCTTAGGCAATTTTAGGCAAAGCCTGGGGACTGCAGTGTGATCCCTGGCACCGCATACAGCTCCAGCCCTAGCACACGGAGGACTGAATAAGCTACAAAAGAAAAAAAGAAGAAAGAAAGAAAGAAAGAAAGAAAGAAAGAAAGAAAGAAAGAAAGATTATTGTTCTATTATTTTCATTTCTTTTGATGTGTTTTTCTGATCTTGCTATCAGTCATGCTAGACCTATGTTATCAGTTAGAGGATGTTTCTAATCTTTAATTTTTTAAAAAGTTTGAAGTCATTGTTTAATCATTGCTTGTTTTGATTTAAATTATTGTTCTTTTAAATGTTGACAATATTCATCCATGAAGCCATTGGGTTCTGTGATTTGTTGTTGGGTGTTTGATTACTAATTTTAATTTCAATTGTTCTCATAGATCTATTGAGATTTTCTATCCCATCTTCGGATTGTTTATGTAATTTCTATGTTCCAAGGAACTTTTCCATTTCCCCTAGGCTATCTAATTTGTTTATAGCATCCTCTTCTTACATAATACTTGTCATTTAACATTGGAAATATCTTGCTTTCACGTCAATCATATTTATTTCACCTGTTTTCTTTGTCAGCTTATTGAAAATTTGTTAATTTTGCCCATCTTTTTAAAAAGCTAACATTTTTAACCAATTCTTGATATTGTATTGCTAGTATCAGCATGTTATTATCTTGACTCTCTCATTTCTTTCTTTAATTAGCTTTGAATTTAATTTGGTTTTAGTTACTTGTGTGCAGAGTTAGATGATTGCTTTGAGATCTTTCTTCTTTTCTAATGTTGATTTACAGCTGTAAGTTTCCCATTATTACTGCCTTTATTGTATCCCCTAAAGTTTGGTATATTTTGTTTTTACTTTTCTCTAATTTTTCTTTTACTTCCCTTGGAACTTTTATTTTTTGATCCACTGATTAAGAGTGAACTGCTCAATTCATACATGTTTGTGATCCTTGCAGGTTTTTTTGTATCACTATTTTATAGATTAATTCTACTCTGGCTAGAATGCTACTTCTGAAAGCATAGGCATCCACAATGTTTTGTGAAGAACTTTGTCTCCTCTGCAACCAGGTAATACATTTTCTACTTGAGCACACAGGCTACTGTTCCTTCAAGACCAAACCTTTGCTGCATCCAAAAACATATATGGCAGTGGCAAGAGAGAATGTCACACAATTTTCCCATTGTTTTGAAGTTGACTTTTTCCTGACTAAATATTTCCTTGTTACAAAATTTTGACCCTTTTTCTGGACTCCTAAGAAAGTTAGTTCTGACAGTTTTTTCTTGATTTTCAATGTGTATGTGGAAGATCAAGATAGAATTGTCTTCATGGTTTCCACAATGATTGAACTGGATATGATCATTTCTGCTTTTTTGTGCATGTGCTTTTTTGATACAGGGTCTCGCTATGTAGTGCAGGCTGGCCTTGAACTTGATTATGTAGTTCAGACTGGTATCAAATTTATGATGAGTCTCTTACTTCAGCTGGGATTACAGGCATGTGCCACTATGCCCAGCAATACATATAGTAGCTAATGCTCCAAGTGTTCTATTTTCTCTTTAAGGCAAACATTACTATAGGATTTAATAAAGGCACCTGCTTCTGTAAACACATCACTTGAATACAGTATTTTACAATGGTGAGGGCGTAGATTAGGGCATTTCCAGAAGGACGGATAATTGGGCCTGATTTGTAATTCATGGCCTGATTCTGACATCAGAAGAGGATATGAAGGACAGGAGTAGTTGACTTCCCAGTGACTGCTCTCCCATTGTTCTTGTAGTGGCTGTCTACTGTGCTTGTCATGTCTTTGTTTTTCTTACTTCTTTTTGCACTGCAGGCTTTCCTCAGCCCCTTTCCTTCTTCTTCATTTTCACTAAATGTTGCACTTCCAACTTCATTTTTGTCTTACCCACATCTTTGAACAAGATTGCAAGAACCTGGAACCACTGAACACAATAATGTCCTACAACCATGGCTCAAACATTTTGGAAAATTTACAAGTATTTATTTATAACCATTCAGATAATTGAGATAAAATGTTTAGTCTTTCAATGCCAACTGTTATATATTATTTCTTTATTTTATTCTTTTTCATCTTTGTTTTCCTTTCTTCCTTTTGTTCTTACACTTGCATTTAATTTGGTGCTAGATGACCAGACAAGTGTTGTATTGCTTTGACTTAGTTGCTCTTTAAAACTATAACAAGAAAACCCCACAAAAACAAATCTCAAATGTCTTCTCCTAGAAGATGATGCTATTTGTTGCTCCAAAGTAACAGGAGCCTCCAAACTGCACTAATATTGTGAATTCTTTTCTAGATTGAGTTGAGCTCAGTAGATTTTCTCCTTCACAAAAACGTTTTTAGATTACTTATTAAAGATACAATTATCTTGACAGTTTCTACCTAAGTAGGAAGTCAGTGTCTATATATCTTACAGCAAATAATATTCTTAATGTATTTTATGCTAATTGCATTGATTTTAATAGAACAAAGAAATAAAACATCTCGCAACAATGATTTTACAAATGTGAGTGAAAATCTGCTATGTTATATAGTACATGTGACGCCAGCATCTTCAGAGTGTGTACAGACTCTCACACCCCATCTGCTGATCCTACATTCTTCAATAGATTTTTCTCCCCCAAAACAAAATACTTCATTTAGCCATATTGGACCAGTACCTGCAATAATCAAATACAACAGCATTAGTAAATATAGGTAAATTTTTATGATTGAGCAGAATAAAATCATTAATTCATTCACTAAATCTAAGAAAAAATTTAATATTCAAGTTCCTCAATCTTAAGATACAAAAATGAATCTTCTGCTTCAGAAAACTATACCCAGCCAATGTATAAACTACTAAAATGCAGAAATAAGTTGTAACAAAGGTACAAATTCTATGAAAGCACAGGTTAAAGAATAAAAATAGGGTGTGAAGGGTCACTTTGAAAGACTGGTAGTTGTTATTGAAACCTAACTGAACTTAATTTTGTCCTTGACAGGAACTTAATTTTCAAGTATGCTATGTTCAATTTTTAGAAATGGGATTATAAAAGAGTATTACTGTGTAATTTTACTAGATGAAAAATTCCTTTGAAAACTAGTGTTTTTATATGTGTTTAGAATTAAATAGGACATTGGAGCCTGGCATGTTGGTGCACACCTGTAATCTCAGCACTTGGGAGGCTGAGGCACAAGGAACAACATGTATTCAAGGCCAGCCTGGACTACCTAGTGAGATCATGACCAGCCTAGTCTACGCAATAAGAGCCTGTCTCAAAAAAAAAAAAAAAAGAAAGAAAGAAAAGAAAAAGAAAGAAACAATAGAAAAGAAAAAGAATCAAAATATCATATTATCTCCTCAGTGTGAGAACCTGAAAGAGAAAATAAAATCTGTAGAGTATAGTGATACTGAGAAAAAAAAAAAGAATTCTCAAAAAAAAAAAAAAAAAGAAAGAAAGAAAAGAAAAAGAAAGAAACAATAGAAAAGAAAAAGAATCAAAATATCATATTATCTCCTCAGTGTGAGAACCTGAAAGAGAAAATAAAATCTGTAGAGTATAGTGATACTGAGAAAAGGGAATGAACCTATTCAAAAGGAAGGATTCACTGAACTGAAGAGAAGGACAAGAGAGAGAATGAGGGAAACAGCTGTATCTGTGTGTAAGCAGAATGGTTTGGACAACTGTGTTGTGCATATCTGTTTGTCTGTGGAAAGAAGCAGTAATCCTCAATTTGTTTTGTCTTTCTTTTAATTTTTTTCCTTTTGCTTTCTTCTTACTTTATTATGTGTTTTTCTCTTTCGTCTTTCAATTTTGCATGTATATATCTGGTAATAATGAACAACTAACTTGAAGACAACACTATGCAATACAGCAAATACTGTGAAATTCATATTATTTGTTTAGTGAAATTCTGTACCATTTGTAATTTTTCTGTTTGAATACTACTTGGTACTCACTTTAAAAATGAAAATAAAGAAAATAAAAAATTTAAACAGGACATATTCATTTCCACATGTAAAATAAATCAGTGCATTCATGTAATCTTTGCTTTCACTAGAAGGATTCAAACACGTAACAAAGTCATATTTGATGTGCATTATTAAAGTGCCATAATTATGTTTTTATACTGCACTATATTTTCTATTTATTTTATTTTTCCTACTTATTTTAATAGTAATTTAATTGTTAGAACCCAAGTGATATAGAAACAGTATCACTATAACTGTTCTTTTGCTTGTTTCTATGGTACTGAGGATATAACCCATGGCTTTGGGTGTGCTAGACAAGTGCTCTACCACTGAGCCACACTCATCATTCACAACGCTCGTATTATATAAAAGAAAAAGATTTTGCTGGCATGATCAATTACAGACGTAGTAATAGTAAGTTGGAGACTGCAAGTATTTTTTGAAGTAGTTCTGGTCAGGCTCAAGACTTTTTGGCTTGAAACTGTATGGCTGACAAAAAACAGTATTTAAGAGAACATGATATCTAAATGAGAGGCCTTATCAGGAACTTTGTGATTTTCAAGATGATCTTACTGAGTGTAGCATGTCTCTCTTTGTATGTGTGAGTGTATTTGTGCACAAAATCTTATAGAAAACTTTGGAAAATCACAAAAGGCTACTCAAAAACACAGGCAAATGATGACAATTCTATCAATAGTAACACTGCTTTCATGCTGACAGGGAAGGGAGCAAAAGCAGTGGGACATTTACAATTTGTATTTGTTACATTAAACTCAATAAATAAACAGAAGTGTAAACTTTTGGAGGAAGCCAGAGCTGTCTCATATTTCTGGAAGGTTGAGGATGCAGGGTTTTCATGGCTTTGTTGCCAGGTACTATGATGTGTTCACTGCTATTTTGCAGATCTAGTGGTTGAATTTAGATCTCAGCAGTTCAGAACTTTTATAGCACAGACAAAAAAATTGAGAATGAACATCCTATCACTGGCTGTACTGCTTTTCCAGAAAGGCAGAACAGGAAAAAAAAATTACTACATTAATTAGCATACTGACATGTGAGCACACATTTAAAACAATGGTAAGGGATTTCATGAATACTGAAATGCCAAACCTGTGGTGATAACAAAAATGTCAGCCTACTATCTTAAAAATTTACTATTATGGACTACTGGACTCTTAGAATATTTTACTTAGCTAACACACCTATAATATTCAAATAACAGAACTTAACAAAGAAAGGGGATACAGATGAATGTCCATTTTGTATCTGTGTATTCAAAGTGGTTAGGATAGATATATAGTTGCATTCTCTTAATGAATAGAGGGATTTATTCTAATAGTGTTTCTAAATAGGATATCATGTCCGCATATTGTACAGCAATTGACCACTAGGAAGAATGTATGCAATGTGTTAATTATTGGAACTGTCCTACCAATTTCATTTGAAACTGTCTCATTACTATTTGTTTCTTAATAAAATTATGGGAAAAATTACTACATAGCAGAAAATATCCAATGTGTAGTTAGTCAATTATGTTCTCAAATCCTCACCCTTCAAAAATGAAGTGTTCTTTTGTGCCATTTTACTGTCGAGAAATGTGAAAATTAGACAGAATAAAGAACGTCATCCACTGTTTCTCCCTGGTGTCTTCCCAGAGCTAGTGTCTTTCATAAATGACTTACTGGAGTCCCCTGCATTTCAGACTCAATCACTCCATAAATCTGTGTTGAGTGCCCACATGAGTGAGTGAAACGGAGAGCCTGCTCTCCAGAACTGACCTCTGACTGGGGCTCTCCTTCCTACCCAGACAAGTCACTGAAGCATGTGGCAATGGTAGAGGGGATATTTACATGTGGAACTAGCACCTCTTTTTCTTTGCAGACACAAGATGCGATAAATAAACAATGCCTTACCATGACTCATCTCTTTTGCTATGCAGAAAAGATTGCAAAACAGTGAACGTGTTTTGAGTGCTTGTATAAAAGACAATTGCTACATCTTTGTGCTTATAATCCTTAAGTTTACTTCTTATAACAACCTTGTAAAATAATGGCAATTATTTCCATTTTATAGATGAACTAAGAGTTGGAAAAAGTGGATGACTTTCTCAAAATAACAGAAGAGAGCCAAGCAACAAAACATAATGATACTTAAAATTTACTGATGTTCGTTGGCTACATAGGAGCCCAAATAGAGTTATGGAAATAATTTCCAAAGATTTGTTGTTTTATTTTTATGTTAATATATTCAGGACTATGGAGCCTAGGGGAAATTTTTATTTAATACATATATCCCGTCTTATTCCAAATTGTTTTCTGCATTAAAAAATTAATGCAAAGGTAGCAAAAAATTCATAAAATTTTATCCTCATTTATACCTAAAACATAAAAGAACAAATTTGTTTTTATTTCTTTAGATAATAACAGTCATTTGAGGATTTTGCTTGTTCCCATCTTTCCTTTCTGTTTTTTTCCCTCTCTGCTCAGAGGAGCATATAAAATTTATGTATGTTTTATTCTCTAATCCTTTGTCTGTTTGCCTGTCTGGTATGCCTGCCTTCCTTCCTATTTTACCTATCTATCTATCCATCCATCTATATATCTGTAATTTGCTTTATAATTCAATGGCTATAGAGAGGCCTTACATTATAATTTTAAGAGTACACAGCAATAAAAGTGTTGCCTATAGCTTCTGGAGTTTATGACCTTGGTTTATCATGCCTGAAAGTATACTTTGCAGACTTCACACATAATTCTATTTTGTTTTAATTTGTGTGTGTGTGTGTGTATGTGTGTGTGTGTGTGTTTCTGTATGTGTGTGTTGTGAATGTGTACTGTTTGTGTGTTTCTAGGAATCAAGCCAAAGGCCTTGCACATAGTGGGTAAGTGCTGTGCCACTGAACTACATATGCAGGCGATAGATAGATAAATAGATAGATAGATGATAGATAGATAGAATTTAGCTGAATGTGGTGGCACAAACCTCTAATCCCAGCACTCTGAGAAGGTGAGGCCAAAGGATCACAAATTTGAGCCAAGTCTTGAAAACTTAGTGAGAGCTTGTTTCAAAAACAAAAAATCCAGGGCTGGCCTGATACTTCAACAGACTAAAGCACCTGCTTAGCAGACATAGTGGCTGGGGTTCAGGTTCAATCCCTGGCATGCCATGCTGGCCCCGCCCTGAGGGGCACACTGAGATGGTGAGTGAGACTGGGTGTGGTGGCAAGCGCCTGTAATCCCAGCGCTTAGGAGGCTGAAAACAGGAGAATCACGACAAGTCTGATCTACATAGTGAGACCCTGTAGACCCTTCCCTAAATACAAAAACTAAAACAAAAACAAAACAGAAAAACAAAAGAAAAAGAAAAATTGAAATAGGGACATGGTTGTACCTCAGTGTGAAGTGTCTGTGTTTAATTCCAAGTAGTAAAGAAAAAGACATATTAACATTCTTGGTCTTTGATCTTTAGATTATCATTATTCTAGAGGGAAAATGACAATCATATTTCACGTGTTATCCAGATATGTGGTAAAATGATGTACTTTAAAATTAGCAACTGGATAGATTTCCGAAGGAGGAAGTGAGTTTAAAATGTTTGGATGCACCTAGTTGTGGTGGAGAAATGCATTTGTGTTGCTTGTGTGAGTGCAGTTGGAATGCTTTGTGGAGAGCTTCTCTGAATAAGAGCACCATGTTCTGAAGGAAA